ACCAGTCTCCTTTGTGGCCACCGGTGCGGCCCGAAGATATCCCTAACACCTCTCTCGCCGCCTTCCTTATATAGTCCGCCGTCATCGACCACATAGTATTTGCATCCCCACTACTTCTCCAAGCTCCCATTGCCGACAACCTTCCTTCCAACTCCTGAACGAACGAATGAATATACACAAAATTCTCTCAAGAAAGGCAATAGCCAACCACCTGTCATATTTGACCATTCTCCTCGCCTTTCTTCTTCTCTCTCTCCTCCATTTACTTTTTCTCCAAATCGAAACACACAAAGAGGAGAGACAGACACCTCTTCTCAGACTAAGGGATTCTTTTCTTTGGTCGAGTTAGGAGGACCCAAATTGACAATAATCGAATCAAAGACACTTAATTATGTCGTGCGACAAGATTGATGGGCTCGCGAGGTGGTTCGGGACGAGTGTTGCTTCGGCATTCTTTGCCTCGTTGGAGCGATGCGCGTGCGTCAATCTCACCACCTACGCATCTGATGATGAGGAAGAGGAAGAAGCTAAAGATCGCCCCTTGTTTATGAACAATTTGCCTTCTCATGTTGATCCTTGTCCTCACTCTAACATTTCTGCCTCCTCCGTCGATAATTGACTCTCCTCTCCTCTCCTCTCCTCCCCTCTCCTGGTATATTATTTTCATAATTGTACGAGCATTAATTTTGATCTGTTGCCTTTCTGGAAATTATACAATCTGTTTGGATGTATGTTTTCCGCTTCTGAATATCAAATTTAGTGTCTGTCCTTTTTCATTTTAATCAATTAGACCACTATGAATTAACTCTAAATTAGTTTAGATTCAAATGATTTGTCATAATTAGACTATTAAAAGGGCTTAGCTCGCCTAGGAAGTTCTCTCTACCTAGTGTAAGGGTAGGTCTATAAAGAACTTAATCAACTCAAGTTTGAAAAATGGTTTAAGGAACAAATGGAGTTAAAGGATTAATGGACTTGTGGTTCTAAGCTATGTTGCGCGGACTCTCCAAACTGTAGCCGCACCCGTGTCGGATCCTTCAAAAATGCATTGCTCTTGGAGGATCCGACATGTATCTGGTCACATTTTCGGAGAGTCCGAGCAACATAAGTTCTAAGTGCATCTATAGAGGAGCTATCTCTTATAGTTAGTTGGACATTGTATCTGTTAAATGGAACAGAGATTTCTTTGAAAACTAACTTGGGCTGTTAGAGAATTGGCACGGCAGGCTTGTTTCATTCTTACTGCCAAATTGCTAATGCTTCCTCGTGTGCAGAAAATATTTGTTATTTACTTCCAAATGTTCCCTTTAGGAACTGAACTCCATTCCCTGAATTATTGAACATATTATGACATTGTAGCACAGGGAATTTGCACAATGTATCGTAAAAGAATCCACTTCACATAGATAATAAGTAGTGATTTATCTGATTTCTTAATTAGTTTAATTTTAAGATCATCTGTTGTAGATGGACACCGTCTTTTGTTACTTTGTTTATCACAGTACTTGGATGGCTTCCGACGACAATTGATTTATGATCTCAGAAAGAAAAAACTGAGTTGACTAGGATTGTGTAATTATTTACTCTAGCTTGCAAAGGAAGTTGCCCTTGGAGGATCTCTGGAGGGATTAATTCAATTGGTTAGATTGTGCCTGTTAGAGGAGCATTTGAAAACCATAAGTCTCAAAGTCAAGAAGCTTTTAGACGGTTGGCTTTATATGTTGAGTGCTTTGATGTGTGGTTGGAATTTCTAAATACTCCTACCAAACTTGAAGAAGATAAACAAATATTTTCTTAATATAAGTTAATACTAGCAGATGGAGCTTATGCTTGGTGAAATTCAGATATCATCTTGTCCAAATCAATCACTTAACTACTGTTTGACTTCATTTTCACACAAAAGTGAGTAGGTTCTATGAATATGGCATTTGGTTATTATTTGTCAAAGACTTGTGTAAATTTTGTTGATGGAGAATGAGACAAATCTTCTTGTCGCTGGGACATATACTATTAGATTCATGACACCAAATTAAGTTGTGCTTTCCATGTTTCCAAGTTGTCTTGATGAAGCCCACATCTCATAAAAATGAACTCCCCATCTCATAATGTTTGCTTTTTTGCCTTTGGTCATTGTCAAAATTTTGCAGCCCTATCTCTACTACGCTTATGATGCAACCTTTTTTTTTCCAGATCTGGCATCACCAACTTCATCATATTAATCCTTTGGCTCCAACGGAAATGTAATTCCGGTATTAACTGTAATATTTATTCTTTTTCTTCTTATAGACCATTTTTCCATTCAAGTGTTGTATGAGGTGTTTTTCCTTTGGTCAGTTTTGTTACAAGGTCAAACATTTAAGCACGTACAAGACACCTTTTATTGTTCCTTTACCTCGCAATTCTTCAACAAGAGTTTTGCTTGCTCTAGGAAACTAGCAAATGCCAGTAAGAGGCTGTTGTACTTCATGCTAGCAGTGCAAAATTGGCCCTCACTTGCCTTGGCAAATGGCAACCTGTTCGAGGCAATTATAAATTTGTGGTTGTAGGGTTATACTAGAGTAATATTATTTTTCATTACTCTATTTAAGCAAACTTCTTAATCAACCAGATTATTTAAAACCCCAATAGGTGACGAGTTACGCTAAATGTGTTATTGCTCACTAATTCAGGCGTTACAGCTTTTGTGGTTGTAGGGGTGTTCATGGTTCGGTTTGGATCGGTTTTTCCCTAAAAAGAAACCAAACCAAGTAAGTTGATTTTTCAAATATTAGAACCAAACCAAACCAAACCAATTAAGTCGGTTTTTTCTTGATTCGGTTTATGTCGGTTTTTCGGTTGGTTATTTGTCGTTTTTTTCTTAAATATAAGACACACTACCAAACACATATCTCGGCGACCACATTTTCAACGTAACACTATCAAATCAATTGCCCTTTGAGAAATTTATTATTTANTTTTTTTTTATTAAAACCAACCAAACCGAATTTGATCGGTTTTTAAATTTCAAAACCAAAACTAAACCAAACCAAAAAGTATCGTTTTTTCTGGTCGGTTTGGTTTGATTTTCGGTTTGATTCGAATTTTCGGATTTTTATGAACACCCCTAGATGTAGGTTAATAGGTTTACTTTAAACTTTGTTTATTTCCTTCTTATCGTCAAAGAATATTTGATTAAGCAAACATCTTCATGAGCCAGAACAAAATGCAATAGGTAACAAATTGTGCTAAATATGTGGTTATTACTCCATTCATTTTATCAATTTATCCATCTTCTATGCTGATTATGATTCAGAGAAAACTAGCAAGTTGTCTTTACTTGAATCGCCTTTTGATATCGAGAGGGGGGATGAGTGAACCTAGTCAAGGAAGTGAAAATGTAAGGGTACACCTTTAGCATGAATGCACGTAATTGGTTTCATGGAGAGCAATGACACACTTTAGTCCAGTTGGATAGGCCTTTCACTGCCTAATAATAGGGTGGTTGACACAAAAGGGACTTTTTGAGGGTGGTTTTAGTAGAATGTCCCAAAATTGGCGGTATTTGAAAAATGACTTCGGACCCGCACAAGCTCTTTAGGGGTTTTTTCTACCGGATTAAATTGCTCATCAAAGTTTACCGGATTATCATACTATTGCTCTTCAATATTTCTCTACCAACCTGATAGAGCTGATGCCATTATTACTCTACCTATTAAGTTGTTGACTGAAACCAGAGCGATTAAAACGAGAGCGCCCCTTTCACCGGGACAAACAACCCATTTGATCAGGGTCCCCTGGCTGACATAAAGTTTCAACATAAAAAAAAGAAATCGTCTCGTCTTTGGGAATACTTATAACTTAAGTGGGGATAATGCATACTTCTCTTCAAGTGGAAGCAATCATAGGGGGTTCGGGTCTGAGGTAAGCCTTCCTCTATCATTGGTAGGCAAAAAAGGGGTAAGCGAACTTGGCTGTGTTTGTGGTATTTTCTTTTTTATTTAGGATCTTTTTTATTTACCTTTAAGGGATCCTATTCCCCGTTTTGACTTTTTTTTAGAATCGTCTTCTTTTAAATAAGATCTTCTCCCAGAATCAAATAGGCTCGCCCTTTCCGAAAGGCAAGTATACCAAGCTTGTCCCATTGGTCCTCCGAGCAACTCCTTGGTCAGATGACCAAGATATGGGCGTTGCCCCGTGCGGCCCCTATCTTTAATCTTAAGTAAAGTGAAGTCAAATCAATGAAGTAAACAGCCCAACCACTTACTCTTATGGAAGCAGGAGCCGAAACAATGCTTTAGCGGTAGGAGCGGAATCCCCTTTTGGTTTGGAAGGTTGATATAGCAGAAATTCAAGTTTTAGACCCCTTCCTATCAGTCTCAGAAACAGGCCTTCAAACGCTTTTTTATGGCAAATGCTGAGATTCTTTAGTTCGACGACCCAGGCTTTGTCTCGGAATGCTTTTAACAGATTGTCATACTTCTTCTCTTGAGGGATTTCTCTAGTCGGTAAAGTTGATGCTATATTTTTTTCTATCTATTTGTTAAGTTGTTCATCGAAGTCTACCGGATTGGCATATTTTTTTTTGGGTTGTTTTAACAAAGTATTCTTCGAATATGCAACTTCAATTTCGATCAAACAACCTCAAATCTGCTCCAAATAATCTCAAATTTAAAACAAAGCATCCAAATACCAACACAAGCAATCCTCACTCACCAATTCAGTCAAATAACACCAAATCAAAAAGACCTATTTTGTCTTCTTCACACTTTGTAAGGGCCAACAATGGAGTTAGAGATTTTTACAGTAAATGACCAAAATCTGTGTTTGAACTAAAAGTCTAAGCACAAATTATTGACATTCAAACGATTTTAACAATAATTGATCATAAACTTTATTTTTCACCATCAACCAAGAATTTCAAGCTTTAAAAATTAAAGAACTATGGCGTTCAAATAAAAAGGGGGACATTATGCCAAGACACCATCCCTTTTTGGGGATCACGCCATGCTAGTTTCGTCTAATAATGTAGACAATTTGATTGGGCCATCCTTTGAGCCCAAAAGGAAACCCGAGGGATGACTTTGCTGACTAATAATAGGGTAGTAGCTTCCCCATGCATGCAAATTGGCTCGTAGTCACCAGAATACAGCAAGGAATAACAATTATCTCATATTGCAAAAACTACAATGATGACACTAGGAACAAAATTGTTGAACCTTAAAATAAGGTTCAGCTGCTATTTGCAGGAGAACGCTCAGCTCTATGCATATACAAAGCATATACACTAATAACTACTGATTTCTGTACAGAATAAATCAATTAAGTCGCATATCTCACACTTCTGTGTTTTATATCAACATTGTGACACTACTAAATACAATTTTGGAGCTGTAAATTTGAAAATGACATCTATGTTAGTGTAACAATGTTACCAGCAACATTGGCCCCCAGGACTTTGGTCTAGTGGGGTAAGAAAGCAGAGCATATGTGTGGGTTAGGCGCACATCACAAATTCAAACTCAGCCGCAAACAAAAGCCTAGTATTTAAGTGGAGAATGATAAAGGGATGGACGGACCCATTATCCCTTGAATTTTGAACCATACACTAACTGGCTAAGTGAAGAAGGGTCAAGGTAGAGGAGCGGACCCCTACTATCCATCAAGTTTCGAAACCAACTAGCCTTTGAGGATTCCTCTGTTATCCAAAAATAAGACCATGTTATTACCAGCATCCTCTGTAGAATGAACCCTCCCACTTTGACTAGAAAAGGCATGCTGTTCCAAGCAGAGGTAGACCAGAGCACCAGCCACAAAGCATTCTAACTTTTTTAGCAACTCACATTAGCACTGAGATCTCATGCACGTTTAGTTGCTACAACACTCCAATTCGGCAGGAAGTGGCCCACTCACCTTCCGCACAACCAACCTATCTTCAATGGACTGACCGACCGTATGGCAGACAACAATTCAATCATTCAGAACAGCCAGCATGCCATAAAAGATGAAGTTCCCCACCATTTCTCCTTGAGAAAATTACAGCCACTAGCTCCTTCCCTGGTCTCACTTAAATAACAAAGGAAAGAGATTATGAAAGGTCCCGCAGGCACCTCATATGGATAAGCATACCATGTTGACCTCTCCTTGTGTATTCATTTCTTTACAGTGACAGTGGATAAATGGCTCTCGTAAATTAAAATTAGGCTGTTATCTCAAAAATGGGATAAGGCAAATCTGAGATATTTACCAACTAGTGGCCAGATCAGGTATATAAGCAAACTCTGATATGACTTGCTAAAACCTGAAGGGACCAGTCAAACATGATTTCTCATATGGAGCTCTCGCTGAAACAGTAAACTCTGTCAAGTAGTTCTATCACAAAGGATATTACAGAGTTTCCCTGATCCAGAAAGGAGGTGCCACAAGAGGAGATAACGTCCACTTTCTTGAAAACCCTGAAAGCAATACTTCTCAAAGTGGCGAAGGCAATCCATAATTATGAAATGACCTTATTCGCCCATCATAGCCTGCAGTAACAATAACTAAACCCCAGGCATGAGAACGGGATGAACTCTGGCAAGAAAGTTTCAGAAACTTGTAATGAGATTTACACATTGCAGAAGGCACAGACCGAGGATGTGACACAGGGAGCTTCTCTTCAGGCCAGGTTGCAGATCCCTTGGGAATTGCCTCTAAGAACAACTCTTGTCCTAAAGAGAACCAAGGAGAAGCAGGGAACGGGAAATTTGTTAAGCTTTGACTTAGTCCTTGTGAGTGACACCGGTTTTCATGGTTGACATTTTTCAAACCAGACCAAGGTATTGCAATGGTCGCATCGCCATTGAAGAACTCAAATGAACTCAATGTTCCAGGTTGAGACACAGAAGACTCTTCTGGAATGTGGAAGTTCCATAGATAGACATTAGAATCTTCAGACGCAGAGATAATATGCTTCCCATCTGAGGTGAAAGCAGCAGAGAGATGGCTTCCTGCATTTCTTAGGCCTAGAGAAGTAAAGTAGCAAGAAAGTTAGAGAAGAAGGGACAATGGAGAAACAAGTTAGAAATAAACACTCAATAGAGATATCATATGACCAACAAACTTAACTACAAAATAAATTAAGTTGACCGCAAGTCCCATGATTGCAGAAAGTCTCAATATCAACTACAAGGATTCCTTATTGACACGAAAAGAATGAGAAGCCACTCAAATGATAGGAAAATAGGCATACAAATAGGTTATTATCTAAAACTCGAGAAGGGAACATACCTCTGCACTTGCCGATCACATTGATCCCACTAAGGATTCTTACTTGGGAGTCAGCACAAGTAACAATTACTTTAGTTGGGTCTTCTGGTAGAAACTGCATAGAAGTAATGATTTATCAGCATCTTATTACATTGCTAACCAGAAAATGTAATGCAGTACGGCCAATGGTATCTGCGTGATGTATACTAACCTGAAAGCCACTAATTCTTTTGCAAAGTGACTTCTTCTTACTGCCCAATGACATCTGCTCCTCCAGTTGGATCTTGTGATCTGTGACGGTCCAAAAACATAAAAAAAAACATTTCAACTTTGATGTAAACTCTGTATAACAGACTAT